TTTATACATACATTTATTTATTGATCAAGTATATGTAATTTAATTTTTGAGTAAACTACAGTATAAATATTTGAAGTCACTGTATCACATGAATATAAAGCAGGAGTTGGTAAACTTTTCCTGTAAATGACTACATAGTAAATATTTTAGGTTTTGTAGGTCAAGAGTCTCTGTTGCAAATACTCAACTCTGCCATTATAGAATGAAAGAAGCCACAGATAGTTTGAACAATTTGTAAACAAATGGGAATGGCTCTGTTCCAATAAAATGATTTTTTGTTTGTTTTAATGAAAACAGAAGGCTGGGTAGACTTGGCACATGGGCTTCTTAGTTTTCAGATTCTGATGTGAAGAAAGTTTGTTGTTTAATTAATATTAAAACATTATTAATTTCCAATGAGAATGTTACATTAATTAATTATTTAAAGATTTATTTATTTAGAGAGAGAGAGCAGGGACAGTGGACGCTTATGCAAGGGCAAGCAGGGGAAGGGGCAGAGGGAAAGGGAGAGAGAATTCTCAAGCAGATTCCTGCAGATCCAGAGCCTGTGCTGGATCCCAGGACCCTGAGATCATGACCTGAGCCAAAATCAAGAGTTGGCCACTTAACCAACTGAGCTAACCATGCGCCTCTAATTTAAATAAATATCATTTAAGCAGGATTTTTATTTTCATAGATATATGCAAAATCTTTCATAAAATGCAGAAATGTCTTAGAGATACTATTATATTTCAGGGAACTTAAGCAATACAATGACATCTAGTTGTACAGTAAAACCCAGTCTGCAAACAAGCTGTTATGTTCTAAAATTCTCCATGATCAGCTCTTGACAAAATAACACATATTTCACATTTCATCACATATTCAGTGAAGGTCGACGTTCCTATTTTCCCATGTGATTCTGTCGGGTTTTCATTTTGGTTTACTTTATTTGTGCTTTTCATTTTCAGGAAATGGTTTGGTCAGAGTCTTATTTGTCTTTGTATAGCTATAACCTTAACACAATATCTTGCAAAAGTAAAGATGATAGATGATCGTCTAATAGAGAGATCTAGAGCTAGGGGTCAAGGGTGATGATTCTACATTTCTGGGCTATCCTTCTGATTTCCAGTATTTTAAGTTGTTTATGTATTGCCAATTAAATATGTTTTTTATGGAATGGGAACTTTCATTATTTATGTATTTATTAATTTGCCAATTTCTTCTATGATGCAGTATATGTTATAGTTTAATCAAACAAAATTATTCCTTGGATGCAGAGCTCCAAAACAAGGTCTGCTCCCAGAAGAAAACAGTAACAAAACAGAAAATAAAAGAAGGAAATATGGTTATATATGAACAGATAAATTTTAATTATATCAAACTAAGGACTGCTGCAACTATAATTTAAAGGATAGATCTTTTAAGACAACATGTTGCATATTCAATAAAACGTTTCTTTACCAGGATCCAAGTTTTACTGAGCTTGACAAAAAAGAATCTGTTATTATTTGAAGTATATGGATTAGCTAGTGTTTTTTCTTATTGTTGTTTTAATCATTATTTTAGTTTCTCCTATTTATCATTGTGATTTATGTGCACTTTTCAAACAAGAAAGACAATACAGCAAATTAGACTATTAGAAAAGAATAACATTATAAATCATACATAGCAGAAATTATTTTTTTTATTTTCAACTTTTTACACACATATCTATAGTGAATACCGTTGGTTGCCAACTACTCCAACCTGCTTTGGGGAAATTAATCTGTTTCTCTACCAGGTAGTTCTTACTCCCAAGTGCAGGAGTGGCTTAATAGTTCTCAGCATTTCTCTTTGGCATACTTTGTTCAGATAAAATGGGGACAAATAATTATTTTAGTCAATAAGACAAAAGCAAAGCATCTTAGGGGCTCTTGGGAAAATATTATTTATTCTTAAGCACAAAAAGAGAGCAAAATGAACCTGGATAACTAATAGTGTGAAGCCATCAGATCAACTAATCCTTAGTCTACTTTATCTTTCTATGTATGTGTCACATGTCTTTACTATGTAAGCCTTTTTTTGGACATTTTCAAATTTTTCTATCTTCACGTATCATGAGCTTTTTTTTCCAAAACCGTTCATGAATAAAATTTAATTTGAGAAGTAGTATGCTCCAAGATTGTGGTGATGAAGACATAGACCTTATATGCTATCATCCTGGCCACAGCTGATTGGACTAAGCCTACATATCTAACTGGAGGTGCCTGAGTAGGGTATGTTGTGAAGTAAGTAGATCTGAAGTTTCTGATTAAAGGTTGATCTTCTAGGGACAAGTCAGAACCTGAATAACATGTGGTTTTCATCTTCTGTCCACTGTTAGATCTGAACTTCATTAGCTGGTCCAGTCTTCAGTTAGTAAATAGGTTTACATTCCTTAATTATTTGGTTTAAAAAAAATCAGAAAAAGGGGCACCTGGGTGGCTCAGTCATTAAGCGTCTGCCTTCGGCTCAGCTCATGATCCCAGGGTCCTGGGATCGAGCCCCGCATTGGGCTCCCTGCTCCGTGGGAAGCCCGCTTCTCCCTCTCCCACTCCCCCTGCTTGTGTTCCCCCCTCTTGCTGTGTCTCTCTCTGTCAAATAAATAAGTAAAATCTTTAAAAAGAATTTAAAAAAATCAGAAAAAAATAAATAGGAAGGGAGGGAGGAAAAAAGAAAAGAAAAGAAAGAAATCAGTGGCTCTTTAGAGCACTGATGAATTATAATATTTTTTTAAAGATTTTATTTATTTGAGAGAGAGAGAATGAGAGACAGAGAGCATGAGAGGGAAGAGGGTCAGAGGGAGAAGCAGACCCCCTGCTGAGCAGGGAGCCCAATGTGGGACTCGATCCCGGGACTCCAGGATCATGACCTGAGCTGAAGGCAGTCACTTAACCAACTGAGCCACCCAGGTGCCCCGAATTATAATATTTTAATTCAAATCTTTATTTAGATTAACTTAATACAGTCCTGGCCAACAGCATCTGGAACACCAGGCTCTGTTGCTAAGCCTGCTGGCAGAAAACAACTGTAGAATCTACCCAGATTGCATGGAAAAGCTGATAATTGTTAACCAGAATGTTTCTCTATCTATGAAACCACATGAGTGTCTCAGGAATTATCCGCCTTCCCTCATGCTTATTCTGTGGTGTGGAGACCACCAGTAATCCCAACGTAATGGCTTAGACACTCATCTGGGTAGCGGTGTACTTAATTCTGAGACTCTCCATTCCTATACAGTCATGTTCCATTCACTATTCACAATTTCTTGCTCTTTCCAAAAATGGGAAAGATTTCATGTACTTTTCTTTCTAATATGAGGAAAATGCAGTTCTAGCAATCCCTGAGTTTATGTGATGACTAGTCCCATCGGTCCAGGCCAATCTACCTTTTTGGTTGTGGCGTAGATATAAAGACTGCTCGATTCCAGCCAATCTGATGTTAATCCCTTCTTACCCTCCAGGGAGCATTTCTTAAGTAATTTAAAGAACTTTGTGTCTAATCCTCTTTCTGCCCCTCCTCTCAGCTCATGCTCACTCTCTCTCTCTCTCTCTCTCTCTCTCTCTCAAAAAATAAATTAAAAAAAAAAGAAAAGAAAGTACTTTGTGTCTATATTAAAATCAAATCTAGTTGTTCACTTTGCATAGGTGTTTTAAACATATCTTCCATTTAATGAAATCGCAAATTTCTGATAATGGTATTCTACTTGAAATATATTAGTTCCAAACCCTACCTTCTTTAGAAAATTTAATCCTGTCTCAATGTAACTTTTGCATTTGTGATTATCCTTTTTCTGATACAATAATCAGCATAGCAAATGCTGACCCGCACTTGCGCCCTATGCCATAACACAAGCCCGGAACATGGTGTTGAACATTTACATGCAGGTTGAAAAAGCACAGTTGCAACCCAAAGTGGAACTTTGTGGTTGTGGTATCGAGACAGGAGACAATATCCCGTAAAAAGTTAGATTCTTACGTACACAGTAGAACACGGATGAAACTAGAGGACATTATGCAAAGGATATAAGTCATTCACAGAAGGATAAATACTGCATGATCCCACTTATATGAAGTATCTAAAGTCGTCAAACCCATAGAAGCAGAGAGTAGAATGATGGTTGTTGACAAGGCCTGGGCAGGGAGATATGGGGAGTTGCCCAATGGGTATAAAGTTTCAACTATGCAAAGCTAAATAATTCTAGAGATTGGCTGTACAACATTCTGCCTATCATTTACAATACTGTGTTATGTACTTTAAAATTGAAGAGGGCAGATCTCATATTAAGTGTCCTTAACACAATTTTTTAAAAAATTCTTAAAGAAAAAAATTTATTTTTGGGTTTGACTCATATTACAGAGGTATCTAACATTTATTTAGCAAATGGTAACTAATGAAGTTTGTTCTTTATGAATTTAAATATGAAGTAAGCATAAACTAGACATCACATAATCAATTTAGTTACCACTGGCATTACTTGTAATCTCTTTCCTACTATCCTTCCCTTGTTATGATAAAATGCAACAAACATGCATACGGTCCCAAAACTGTATCTTTCTGAAATTTGTGGTTGTCTCCTCACAATAATTGCATATGTAAACCTTAAAAATACTAAGTTTTTTAGACATCAATCATAATTTAATTTTAACTAAAAACAGCTTTAGTAATCAGCATATAGCTTAATATTATGTACCTCATAATAAATAACAATATAACAGAATCTAATTATAAATTTAATAAAATAAGTATATTTAGGTAATAGATAAACCAAGGAGAAGAAAAGGATTTTGATTTAGACATTGCCCTCTCTTTCTGTATTTTACTTGATTCCTGAGCAGAAAAACTGAATTAAGCAGCAGCCAGAAGGCATAGACGCAGAGTGGAAAAGCTCTTCTCTTTTTAGTAACTTTTGTGCCTGTTTTAAATTGATCATTTGTTTCATCAGCTAATCCCCAAGTAGAGGGCATGTCCTTTCCATTTGTAAGATCCTCTTACAGAAGTTGAATTCCCTCCTTATCACCTCAGGGCAATAAGTATTTTCCTTTTGCTTGTTGTTAGGAAAAAGGAAAAAAAAAAAAAAAATGGCTCATACCATTTGCTGGAGCTGTCTGCATTTTAATCCAAGCCTATGAACGGACATCAGAGTGCCCTTATGATATTTTGCACAAAAGGCTCAGTGTTCATGGCTGTACTCAGAGAACCCAAAATAGCATTCTGCGAGCAGTGACATACGGGTGGTGTTGTACTAAGAGCACAATCGTCTCCAGCTCAGAGCAGTGTAGCCCATGTCCAGTCTGAGGAGAAGCCCGTGAAGAAAAGTAAGAACCATCTCTCCTCCCTTCCTCATGTGTTTGTCATGAATTTTGAATTTCAATTTTTGCAGAACTCCTAGAACTTGAAGATAACACAGGTAAGGATGTGATAATTAGGCATATTTGAATTATATAAATTGTCTCTTAATGAATATAGGGCCAAAAAGGACTTGAAAAGTGCTTTGCTAGTTTGTGTTTCATAAGGGAAAAAAAAATTTCTAAAAAATTTAAAATCACAATGTGTATATTGGACTTTCTCTAAAACAAATATTTTTGAGAACAATTGGCCATCTCTACAGTTCGGACTGAGAAAAATAAAAGTTGCTCATTCCAGAACATTTAAAACATTAAATTTCTTGGGAGGAATGTATCACTACTGTTTCTTTCTTCCTCTAGGATTTTGTTTTTAATTTATCATGTATTTATCTCTGTACTATTGGATGCTATGAACAATAAAGTCACCTTAAAGAAACAAGAAAAATATAAAGTAAATATTTTAATATAATTAATTATTTACTTCTTAGGAAATGATACTCAGTATGGAGCTTTCCGCATATCTGAATAAAATTCAATGTTTCTTTGAAGGACAGTCGATTCTCAAAGTTGACCTATAGTTATTTTATTTTCTTCCTCTTTGTCAGTTGTTTTGGCTATCGAACTTTTTGTTGACATTAGAAAAGCCTTAAAGCAAAAAAACTTAAGTAATTAAGACTATGATAATAATAATAATGAAAGTAAACAATTGGACAAATTATCAATATAGATACCTACATATTCAAACAATCCTTTCTTTCTAGCATTGTTTTTGACATTTCCCAGATTTGAGAAATGAGTTACTTTTGCCAAAAGTAACCAGAAAGACGACCAGGAAGATGTTTGACACTTTTTAAAAACCCATACTGTTAGAGTTTTCAACTTTCATCACCACTCACTAGAAAGAATCCACCTAAAATGCTCTAAAACCTGCCTTTTTACAACTTACAACAAATCAATTTCTTTTTGAAATGAGGCATGCCCTCTTGAAAATTCTGGTATGATTCAGTAAGGGCATTTGTGTCTCACTTTAAAAACCACTTTAGAATTAGTAAAACAGAAGTGTTTTTGTCAGAAATTCATTGCATTAATTACTCAATAAAAGACATTCAGAGGGGCGCCTGGGTGGCTCAGTTGTTAAGCATCTGCCTTCGGCTCAGGTCATGATCTCGGTGTCCTGGGATCAAGCCCCGCATCGGGCTCCCTGCTCAGCGGGGAGCCTGCTTCTCCCTCTGCCTGCTGCTCTCCCTGCTGTGTGCATGCTCTCTCTCTCTCGCTCTCACTCTCTCTCTGACAAATAAATAAAATATTTAAAAAAAGACACTCAGAATCATCAAAGAATGTTTTAAAATTAAAGCAAAACATATAATTGAGACTTTGCTTTGACATAGCAAGTCAAGTTAGAAATGTTAGTATCGGACAGTGACTTATCAACATACAGGATCAGTACATCTACATTTTATAAGAATTTACATGATAAATGAACTTGTAAATTTGTAGGGTAGTATATTAAAGTGGGAATAATTTTGGCACACATTATGGCTCAAAATAACCCAGGTAATTTTCTCTAAGTGCAAAATTTAGAAATGTTATTTCTGTAGAAATGAGCAAATTATACATATATAAATCATAGAAATGGAAAATGCCACCATTTTTTCTGTCTCTAAATTGGATTATAACTAAATTGTTTCCAGGAGTTTGCCACCTATTTTATTTTTTTAATCTCTAGTGGAGACTCTAGTGAAGGTTCTATGACATTTTTTTGCTAAAGAGATAATACTATGAAAATCAGAGAAACATAAAATGTAACTAGAACATTAAAAAGAAAAAGAGAAAAGGGTATAGATGCATCTTTCTATAAACTTTTTAATGATATTGTTGTTTGTTATTAAGGAAATACTTCATGACAATGCTTGAAATTGCTTTTGAACTAGTAAAGCAAAATATAACCATTTCCTATAATATTGGATGAAAAATAAAGGGGCCATAACATTACTTTTCAAATGGATATAATTCTCCTCCTTCTCCTCCTTCATAATAAGGCTTTTGTCTTTGTGTCTATATAAGACATTGGTTTTTCTTTGGTTATTTTCTCTCTTTTATCCAGTGTCTGTAAAACATACCAATTCTAAAGGCGTATCAGGATTTGACTCCAAATTATTGGTTAATAATAAATGGACATATGTGACAATGGAATATTACTCAGCCATCAAACACAATGAAATCCTGCTATTTAAGATGATGTGGGTGGAGCTAGAGTATATTATTCTAAATGAAGCAAGTCAGTCAGAGAAAGACAAATACCATATGATTTCTCTCACATGGTGGCATTTAAGAAACAAAAGAGATGAATGTAGAGGAAGGGGAAAAAGAAAAAGAAAAAGAGAGGGAGGCAAGCCATAAGAGACTCTTCAGTAATAGAGAACAGTGTTGATGGAGGGAGGTGGGCCTGGGATGGGATAAATGGGTCATGGGTATTAAGGAGGGCACTTGTGATGAGCACTGGGTGTTATATGTGAGTGATGAATCACTAAATTCTACTCCTACTCCTGAAACAAACAAACAAAATTAGGGCCAAATTTTTGACCCAGTAAACCTCTTTCCTGGGACTATATCATACTTAAATAATCTAAAAGTAGATGAAGAAGAGTATCTAGAACAAAAGGATGATAAATGATTGAGTAAAATAAAATGCTCTATATCACAATAAAATAATATATAGCCATTAAAAATGACTATCATAAAGACTATTAAAAATGGGTATATGTGTTTGCATGCACACACATATGTGTGTGTCTGTATTTGTCTATGCACAGATTTCAAAATATATATACATATGTATATATTCATTTGATAATTTCAAGACTACATAAATTATTAGTTAAAATTCTATGCCATTTTATTATTTTCTGTCCCTTCTATTTTTTTTAATTTTTTTTAAAGATTTTTTTTTAAATTTATTTATTAGAGAGAGAGTGAGAGAGAGAGAGCAAGAGGGGGAAGGGTTAGAGGGAGAAGCAGACTCCCCGCCGAGCAGGGAGCCCGATGTGGGACTCGATCCTGGGACTCCGGGATCATGACCTGAGCCGAAGGCAGTCACTTAACCAACTGAGCCACCCAGGCGCCCTGTAAAATAGTTGTTTTTAAACACTCTGCTAAACTAGTGCATCTGGTTTCAAATTTTGTCTTCAAAATATATTTTCATGGTCACATACTCTAAACAAATTCAACAGGATGAACTTTAAAAAAAATGTAGACTAGTCAAAAAAAAATGTGGGCTAGTCACTAAGTTATTTTAACTTATATTCAGAAAACAAAAACATAAAACAAATTATATAAAATTTTTGATTTATATGTTTTATGTAAAGAAACTAAGAAAGCATTGAGTTTTTTATTATACAATTCGAAACTAAAATCATTCTTTTTTCACAGAGGTGTTTGTGCAAAAATATTTTGTACCAAAATAATTACATATTCTCATTTATTTTTTTAAAACCTATCCTTTGAGACACACATTCCGTATTAGGATCCAAAATTTATTATAACTTTACTCTAAAATTTTTGTGGATGACTATTGAAATATTAAATTAAACTCCTTATCAATTCATTTTTTTCAGTTTTGAAATTGATTTGAGTATTAATTTAACACATGGAATAATCTGAGAGATTAAAATTTCAAATTTCCTGAATTTATTTTTTAACTCTCAAGTCATAGGGAAGTGTAAGAAAATGATTATATTATTGTCCTTTACTTATATATTATTATAGTTATTATTAGTATTATTCATAGTAAACAGAATTTACGGAGTGGTTACTTTGGTGCTTGGTTTATTTTTTTTCTTTGCAACATCTTTGCTTTTTATTGTCCATTTAATTGTCCTACAAACAATCTCAAAAACTGCATTTTCTATCTTAAGACATTCTTCCTTAAATCCAAACTCCCCAGTGAAGAGATCTCTGCTTTTCCTCTATTAGCATAGACTTTGAATGACTCATCTACTCTTGGAATTCATCAGTTCTAGACTAATCACTCTTCAATCCACTTTTTTCTGCTTCAATCACTCCTAAAACTTCTCTTTAGCTATTCACCAAGATGTACCATTTTTTGTTTGTTTTCCTTTTAATTGACAAATGGTATAGGAAACCAAATCTGGGCACTAAGGGTGCATGTTAATTTTGGTGATAGGTAAATTACTGATGATATTGGTGTGGCCTCTTTTGGTGGCAAGTTAAGAAAGATATCGATTTCATGTTCATTTGTTAACATTGATTTTTCTAATTAAATACAATTCACTATGGAACTTTACTTTCCTGAGACCATGAGTGTTGTCAACTACTAAATCTTTCTACTATACAACTTTAATTGTCATAATCCTGTGTAATCTCTTTAAACATTTGAGTATATATGTCAAAAATTAACTAGCTTCAACAATTAGTTTTACATTTTTTTTTTAAAGATTTTATTTATTTATTTGACAGAGAGAAACACAGAGAGAGAGGGAACACAAGCAGGGGGAGTGGGAGAGGGAGAAGCAGGCTCCCCGCTGAGCAGAGAGCCCGATGTGGGGCTCGATCTCAGGACCCTGAGATCATGACCTGAGCCGAAGGCAGACGCTTAATGACTGAGCCACCCAGGCGCCCCTAGTTTTACATTTTTATGCAATAAATAATACATTGGTAAACAGTGTTTTGGACCAAATTTTCTAAATTCTGATTTGTTTCTTTAGTATAGACTTTCAGACATGAGTTCAGTAGATAAAATGGTGTGAAATCTTTAATGCTCCTGAAATATATTTTCTAATTTAAAAATATCATTTCAATTTATTTTGCTGGTATGAGAAATAGTTCATGACAAGAAGTCATGGATTAAAAACTTGGAGGTTATAGGAAGTAAGTGCATATATTTGAGAGACTTAAGAGGTAGACCTGACCATAAGTGAAGCTTGAATATGTATGGAAGATAAAGTAAACATTGAAGGGGGATTCCTTATTCAAGTGCCAGTTTTTGAGTGGGTACTGGTTTCATTCAGTAAGAGAAAGAACAATGAAAACGAATGAGCAATAA